CTTTCTCTTCTCCAGGCTGAACAACCCCAGCTCTCTCAGCCTGTCCTCACAGCAGAGGTGCTCCAGCCTCTGATCATCTTCGTGGCCTCCTCTGGACCCGTTCCAACAGATCCATGTCCTTCCTGTGCTGAGGACTCCACAGCTGGACACAATTTGCATTCCACTCAACTTCTCACTCAACCCATTTCCCACTTAAATCTCTCTTCTGAAAAGTGTGTCTTAAACATTCCTGCAGATTATGAAATTCCACTCTTTCTTGAAGAGATTAATTTGTAGTGTGCTCCACTCTAACGTATGTAACAGTATTAACACGTCTGTGTGCTGCAATGAAGCGTAGTTGAAACAGAAATAAAATATCCTGCAATGCCAATTTATTCTTACATAAGGTCACACCACCACACAATCAATAGCTTTCCTAACGCTAAACAGATCAATAATTCCACTGTACTCTCTGAACTCTTCCATTCCAGTATACAAGAAAATATGCAGAACTCTGAGATTACAGTGAGATTTAAGAGCGCATTTGCTGCATAGGTTTAATAGATAAAATGCAAGATCAAGAGTATACATTCCAAGACATAGGAAAAGGCTGGGTGGAGAGATAGTAATTGGTGACTGTTTGGAGAAATGGTTGAGTCTTTTATTTGCTCTACAGACTAAGTCTATAGACTTTCCTAAAGGTTGGAGGATTCCTGTAAGTATACTTTCCTAAAGGTTGGAGGATTCCTGTAAGGAGAACCTAATTTTGGATCAGTCTGAGTTAAATCTGTCTTCATGGCAGACTCTTTAGTAGTCCAGCTCTAGGCTGGAGCAGACAGTTCCAGTGGTATACTCTCGTTCCTGTGTCCCAAAGTACCTCTTCATTTCAGATATCAGGTATCAGGCATTCAGCCATCTCCAGGAAAGCAAGGCTCCATCATGCATAATGGTTACTTGGGAAGACAAACACCATCACTCTCTTCCTTCTTCCCCCAGCTGTATCTACTGAGCATGAGGTCTATGGTATGGAATATCCCTTTGGTCAGTGGAGGTCAGCTGTCCTGGCTGTGTCTCCTCCCAACTTTTTGTGCACTCCCAGCGTTCTTGCTGGTGGGATGGTGTGAAGGGCACAAAAGGCCTTGACTGCTTAGTAACAACCAAAAAATATCAGTGTTTTACCAGCACTATTTTAATTGCAAATCCAAAACAAATCAGTACACCAGCTGGTAGTAAGAAAGGCGGCTCTGTCCCAGCCGAAACCACAACACTTGGGTGTTTTCACTCCAGCTTCCTTCACTCTGTACTTCTAATACTGTGACTCGATCATGAAAACACTTCCTTCCAGGGCAACACCCAAGCGTAGCAGCTCTGTTAACAAATGGAACTTAAACCTTCTTACCATAAGCTATACCCATGTTCTTGGACATATCTGAGATGGATGCTCAGCCTGTATGGCAACATCCCATCTTCTGAGAGCTGCCCCCATATCTCAGTATTTTCTCCCAGTGAGAACAGGCATCGTGGATCACATTCTGCCCTTCCAAAAAAATTCAGAATTTGGCTTTAAGGTGGTGCGATTTGGTGCTGTTAAGATTCTGATTATTGTCTCTTATCCCACCATCTGGTTAGGAGCTTCTTTGTATGGTAAGTTTTAACAATTTCTCTCTCCCCAGGTGCCATGATACACGAATTAAAGTGTCGTCTTGGCGTTGCCACACCTTACATATATCACTTGTTAAAAGAATTGGCTTGTACGATACGTGTCGTAGTCTTAGGGAGTACCTGCTCTTTAGGGTGTCATTACCTCGTTACAGAGACCACATACAACATTAATACTGATGACGATTGCAGTAATAGATTGCTTGAGCTGCCCAGTCTCTACCCCTTCCTCGTTGGTTGCTGTCAGTTGTAGAGGTGCCATGTGTCACAGCTTGCACCCAACCCTATATGAACAGATCACGAAATAAGTTGCCAGTAGGTATTGCTGTCTGCAGGTTACATGCATTCCCACTGGAGCTCTGAACATGGATGCTTGGGCACGGTGGGATTCTCTGTCATGATTTGATCTAAGTAAGAGGTTTCTATTATTACCTCCAAATTTTTAGCACGTATGCTCTTAAGTAACAGGAGAATATATATCATTAGTCAATATGTATTCTCTTGTTCTCACTGCGTTTCTGAACTAGCCTGGCTCTGCTTTACTTCCTCAATGGATCCATAATTTTAATTTAAACTATTACTTTCTTCTTAATTCTCATATCTGTTTTTCTTCCAGACTGTTTCGGCTTTTATTGAGGCGCTTGTTCCTGTGGAATGAGTAATAAAGAGCAAAAACGCATCATCTGTATTAATGAATGTTATCTATCATCAGTTTGCTTTTCCAGGTTCTGGTAGCCATCACACACAAAACAGCTGTTTCACTGAAGCTGGACAAGAATATTCTGGCATTGTTTCTTCTCCTCTGAATGTCCCATGGCTGACACAGATAATATTTAGGCCTGCTTCGTTTCAATTTAAGAAAAAAATTCAAGGAAATGGAAAGGATGTTTTCTGTGATTCCTCATCTCCATGTGATTGCCAGGGAGCAGTGAGGGACAGCTGCTCCCTGAGGCACAGGGAGTGGGATCCCAGCACAATAACCTGGCCAGCAGAGCAGGGACCAGCAGCTGGGACCATCCCATCTCCAGCCTGGAGTGGGGCAGCCCTGGGCATGGGCATCTCCCTGGGGACTGGGGACAGGATGGGCACTGCTGCTGTACTGCTGGGGCAGGGACTGGTGGCTTTGAGGGGCTGAAAGGAGGTCCTGGGCCATGGGTAGGATGGGGGGCAGCCCCAGGGGGGCTGGCTGGGCAGGAGTAGCGAGGCTTGGTGGTGCCTTCAGGGGCCTGACAGTGATATCTGAATCCTCTTGTTGGTGCAGTGCAGTTTAAGGTTAGAAGGAGCTGGTTACAGGAAAAAGTGTCCAAGACAGAAAAGCAAGTGGACTCTAGTCAAGGGGTTCAGTAACATCCAGTGTTGCTACACTTACTCATTTGATTCTCCCGCCTCATTGCTCCATTTGTATTTTTTCCATATGTTAAAAATAGGACACTATATGCCCAGAGCAACTGTTTTCACCATTTGTGCACCGCCTGACCCACAAGAGCACAGTCTCAGTTCCATCCCCACCCTTATACCTGCTGGTTTTTGTTGACCACAGACTTCTCCTGCCCATTGAGGCTTTGAACAAGGCAGTGGGAATACTGTGTTTGGGGAGAGGAGCTGAATATGGCTTTTGGAAGTCTGAAGCCTGCTCTTTCCTCCCTCAGGAGTAATATTTCCCACTAACACATTCTGGTAACTGTCCCAGTCTGCTTATTTCAGATTTATGCCATCCCAGCACTCAGTCATTCCCAGTGTTCCTCACACATCTGGAAACATTCCCTTTGAGGAGTTTCAGAGATCAGTATTCAAAACGGGTTGATGCATATCTGTAAGCCAGCTGACAACTGAAATGGTACTCTTTCCTTTGGTATTTTATGTATGAATCAAACCAACTTTCCCAAGCTCTTTCCCCCCCCCCCCCC